TCTGCCGTGCTCAGCAGGTAGTTGGACTGTGCATCGCCCAGTGAGATCTGGTTAGACAGGGGTTAAGGGAAAGGCCTCCCCAAGGGGACTAGAACAAACCTAGTGTCCCTGTGGGCCCTCCCGGCAGGAGGGGAAAGGATACGACTTTGGCCAGGACTATGTCACCAGGGCGGAAACTCTTGTACACTTCTACCTGCACAGGAGAGAGCAGGTGAAACCACACGGTGTGTTGGGGTGCTCATCAGCAGCGGGACAAGGGCCGCCCGCCAGCAGAAAGGAGTGGGGGTGGCTGCAGCAGCAGAGTCCCCTGCAGAGCCTCACTGACCTTATCTTTCTCCGTGGCTCCAATATCTTCTCCCCTGAAAAAGGAGGTTGAGGGATCTGAGTGCCAGTGAGTGACAGCAACTCTCCAGCCCACGACAGGAGCTCCCTGGACTCCCTGGGCACTGGCCAGGACTTGCTGGACACGTGCCCAGTGCTTGGGGCAGAGCTCCTGCCAGGGCAGCCGGCTGTGCCACCCAGGAAACCCTTCCTCCCCGCTTGAGGACAGGGCGCTTGGGCACCCCATCCTGCAGAGAACCCAGCCCTCTCCCTACCGTATGGTCCCCCGGAAGGTGGACTTCAGTGGCGTGGAGCCGACGTACAGGATGTGCACCTTGGCAAAGCGGGAGTTAATGCTGCAAACCTGCTCAGGGGAAAAGGGGAATCAGTGCCAGCAGGGGCCTGCTCTTACCCCAGCACCCGATCCAGTCAGGGAAAGGGCAGGGGGCACGACAGGGCTGTATGCAGGGAGCTCGTGTCTCACTTGGCCTCCTCCTTGTGACCAAAAAGTGGTGGCAGAGGTGGGACAACTGGCAGTGAGCCAGGTGAGGAAGATGATACTTGTGCAACTCAAGACCCACAAATAAGGCTGAGACCTGCTGTGACCCCAGTTCCTCTCCCACCATCACGACTATAAGGAAGCTAATCCCTGGTATGTGCCACCTTTCCTCCAACCTGCCCTGGGCACTGCCCTCCATGCACCCTGCCCCAGAGAGTTCTGGAATGGAGAGCAAAGAAAAACCTCCCCTCAGCTCACCTCAGCCTCAGAGCAGGCAGCAGGGGCAGGGACAGTTGAGAGGCAGGTGTCCCCCACGCCAATATCTGGCTTCTTTGTGAGCAAAGGACCTGGGGGGCTACTGGGCTGCCTCTGCCCCGCTAGGAGCTGTCCAGAGGGTATCAACGGGCCCAGGGGCTCCTCATCCCACCCCACACGCACGCAGGAAGAAAGGTCAGCACGGGGCAGAGAGAGCAAACGCTGTGAGGTCTGCCACTACAGTGCACGCGCCGGTGCCCTACCTTGCATGTCACCACGGCCCCCACGTCAGGCAGGAGCTGGGACTCGGCATCTCTCACCACGGACACAACGGGCAGCTGCAGGGCAGCAGACACGAGGGTTAGGTCAGGGCACAGCCCGCACACAGGACCGTGCGGGACCAGGCTCACA